GGGAGGGGGGTTTTTTCTGTTGACGGTTAAACCAAAGCAATTAGCATGTAGTTAATGGTCCATCTGTAATGAAAATGAGCGTGCCGTACCGTCCGTGATGATTTCGGATCCATACCCCCCCCCCCCCCACAACACGAAACAGAAGCCTCCAGTCACAGAGCACCTTCCCTCACCTCGTTTTCACAATCGGCTGCCTGGCCATTTTCCGAGCTCCATATCCTTATAACGATGTCCGTAGTGCGGAAATGGAAGTCCGGGTGGTCAGCGATGTCGTAAACGCTGACATCGTCTTCCTCGCCGATAACCTGGTCGTGCGAAAAACCCAGCGTACAGTGTTGACGCAAAACTACTGTTCTCTTGATGTCGTCTAACAGCCCAAAGTACTTGACTTAACTCTGGTACTCCTGTTTTTCTGAGGGTAATGTATAACAACAATCAGCAGTATGGAAGATCTGATATACGGTGGTCATGCATAGCTGTCAAGTGCAACGTGCGCTCACTGACCTCCACATCATCGCTGGTGGCATTGAGTTTGACCCACTTCACTGCGCACGTCCTGCCTTTGTGGTCCCCGGACTGAATGACCCCATATATCCCAGGGTCTGGAGAAGCTTGGGCTGGAGCACAGACAGGCACAGAGTCACACTTTGCACATATGGAGCTAAATTAAGAATGGTCTTTTTAGGCCAGCAGGGGGCATGGTGATTAAGGCACTGGAAGGTGAAGAGAATCTCACAAGGGATATTTAGGAACATGCCAAGCGTTGTTCAGTAGACATTGGGTCATGTAAAACAGGTGAACGTATAACTTTTAAGCCATCTTATTTTGGATAAACGTTCCTCTTAAGAGTCTGACTGGGGATCAGACCCCATTTTGCTCGTTCTCAATTTCAGAAATAGGCTTTGCCTTTTATGTATTTATAAACGTAAAAAACCCAGCAGGCTGTCTGGACAGAAGCATGAGAAGTGCAGGGGGAGACACCTACGTCGTTTGTCCACCACGAAGTCCCCGGGACAGAACTCGTAGTTGTCCAGGTGCTGGATGGGGATGAGATCATTAGAACGGATCCCCTTCTCGACGGTGCCGTCCTTCCACATGACGTCCGCCGTGGTCTTGGTGGACACCACCTCCACCGCCACTCTGTTTGTGGCCAAGAGGAAGCAGCAGTTAAGAAAAAGGCCCTCCGGCCTACTTAGTGCCCTGGCCCCTCCCTCAACACTGCGGCGCAGTTCCCTGTCAGGTCACCATCTCTGTGCGATGTGCGATTTATTATCGGCAGCTATTTTTAACAAGGGTCTAGAGGAGCGGCCTGTCTGGGGCTTAACTGCTGCCTAAACATTCGTCACTCTGATGTTCTCAAAAATAACTTGATAGAGACGAGCTCAGTGACAACATAGCAGAAAAGCCACCAGTGGCACTGCTGACAAGCCATCATCATGCCCCGTTAACGAGACGTGTGAAGTTTCATATTTAGCGTTTATTATTGTTCAGAGCTCTACAGCATCCTACAGGGGCCGTAAGATGGTTGACACTGAGCCTGCAGCCAACAGCAGATCAACATAAATAATTTAGCGTTCCTATTCGAAGAGTCCATTATACATCTCAGACGGCGGTAACACTGCACGTCTCGCGTCACGTGATGAGCCCGTTACTGGCCAGGCCAGTTCCAGCACTGGAGATGTACGCTCACCGGTCTCCGGGTTTGAACTCTCGGGAGAACTTGGTCCTCTTTTTCTTGTGCTTCCTCTTCAGGTTGCGGATGGACAGCGGGATGCTCTTCTTGCGGTTCGAGCCGATGCCTCCGCTCTGCGAGGACGCGGTGGAGCTCGCCGACGACGTCATGGAGCTGGTGTCGTCCGTGTCATCCGCCGCCTCGTCATCCGCGTCTGGGTCGCCCGCCGTTTCCAGGGCGCCGTCCTTGGGCTGCCCGTCTGCCTCTAGTGGACCGTTGTTGAGGCAGCCAGCATCCACCTTATCCTGGATGGTCACCAGCTCCTGGTGTAACTCGGGCTTTTTCTCACCTGGAAAGGTCACGCGGACACCAGTCATTTGGCAAAATCTGCCTCATCAGGCCAACGTCATGCCAATTAAACGTTCCAATGGCAATCAGAGTTCAAACAAAGAAAATTACCTTCAGGCCTCTCTGCCTTTTCCGCCAGCTGCTGGCTGGCACCATGTCCATCGGCGTGGTCTGTGGTCTTCTTCCCTACGTCTTTCTTAAACATCTTTATCAACTGCAAGTATTGACATGGAGGACAAGTGTGAGGACAGAACACTTCCAGCAACACTCGATTCATGCTCTGGGGCTACCAAAAGCATGGAGGGGGCACCTCGAGACACACCTTCCGGGCAACAGGGTCCTCGGGTAGGATGGGGGCCCCCTCGGGCCCCTCGCAGGTGATCCGGGTGGCATCACCTTTGGGGGGAAAGACATAGAGGGCCCTTTCGCCCAGCTGCCTCTGAGTGTGGTCATAGTAGCCCAGTCGCTTAACCCTGGTGCAGAGATTAGCAGAGGTGCAGTTGCCCATTACACGCCAGAACGTTCGCTTCCAAGACAAAGTAAACGCATATCCAACACCATGCAATCCCAATCGATTGCTCAACCCTCTATGCACGCCACACAGCTACCTGCAGAGGTTCTCCTGCGTGATCGTGGAGGGCGGTGGGTAGACACTGTCTGTACCCCTCGGGGAATAGCTCTTTGTGATCCACGTCACTTTCAGCTCCACAACCTGGACCTGCAGCATAAACGGGTCAGGGAGAGGTCAGAGAACCATTCAAGTCAACAGTCACAAAGGGACACAAGCCGGCAGCCAGCTTGCGGAGGGTCCCACCTCTTCCACCACCACCCTGAACTTGCTCTTCTTGCTGAGCACAGGCTTGACCCCGGAAAGCCACTGCACGTTGGAGAACACTTTGGAAGGTCCGATCAGCACCTGGCCTGGGTAGAAACCGTAGGCCTCGTCGAAGAAAAGCCCCTAAGGAAAGAACATGAATTCATAATTCATCAGGTAAAAATGTAGGTTAAAAGTCTAACTTGTATGTTTGCAATGTCAACCAATGAACGGCCAGTTCGGTAGCAAGGCAATAACAGTTGAACCTCCGCCTACTAAAATTACTGACAAAACATCCGGCAGCTTCTCTGAGGACAGCACACTGCTAATCCTGGGCATCCATGCTCCATTTCTCACATCCTGGTGTCAGACTAAACTGCCTCCCGGACCAGCACAACATTTTAGACGGGAGCTTGTGGTGGGAAGCCGACAAATATCACAGATCATTGCTTGCCGATTGAATAACTACAAGAGACGACCGATCCTTCAAACTGGAAGATGATCTGTGCCCGAGTCATTTCAGCCGCGCAAGGTCAAGACAAGGACGTTTGTTGGGGAGGTCCTCACCGAATCACTGACGTGGGGGCAGACGTCATAAAGCTTAGCACCGTCCTCAACGCTCATGGAACACCTGCGACAGGAAAAAAAACAGCATCGTTCAGGCTTCAGGCAGATGGGGGCGGGGGGCTGTCTGACTGCAGACGGCTCAGAGTTACAACTCCCTAATGAGGCTTTTCTACCTGGCTCCGTTGGAGAGCTTCAGAATGATGTGGTTGGTCAGGTCATACACTTTACCCAGCCAGAAGTCGTAGGCTATGTAGTCTCCATACATGAAAGACTGCATCCAAAAAGGTAGAGAAAGGCGGGTCACACCACAGTACCAGTTTATTACAGGAGTGACATTTTTGTGAAAATCCCACATGACTGTAAATCGCACATGCATACATCAGGCACCTCGCTAAAGGGCTTTAATGTCTGGCATGCGATTCATCTCCCTCACCCAGATGTGCTGCAGGTCTCTGCTGTTGACGGGGTACAGGACACAGTTGGTTCCCACCAGCTTCACCGCACACTCTATGTTGATGTCGATCACCGTGCCACATTGACTGTCCTGGGAGATAAACAACAACGCACCAGAGTCGGCGTCAAAACAGACCTGGGAGAGGCGGAACATGTACTACATGCTGACAGGTTAAAAATGCACACAGGTAGCACAGATACCTACGTTGGCATGCATACGCCGCACGATGTCCCTGGGCACGATGGAGCGGTCCTCCAGCTTCAACTGAAAAAGGAAAGAGGAGGAACGATGATGGTGACACGATCATCCCTGCATCATTGCCTGGAATGCACTATTGTTTTCACAGGCCAAAGCCGTAAGAAACCCTCACTGTCATTCAGCACCTGTCAGGAGGAGTGGGCCCACGAGCGCAGTGGTCACCGAGTGAAACACACCGTGCCAACCTCCACAGGAGGCCCTGTATGTCACCCGGCTGTCCTTAGTCAAAAACATCCACCAACGGGATTACAGTGTGTGATGCATCACAGAATCCGCGGGGACTCGACTTCCTGTGCACCCGCGGTTTTGTATTTTTAAGAGTGAGCCCAAAGGTGCAAGTAATGCTCAAACCTGCATGGTGAAGCATGGTGAAGCACGGTGAAGAATAGGGCTTCGATCTGAGAGGGAGACTGTGTGATCTGTAAGCCAGTTACACACTAGTGTCCTACACGACTCACATCCTTCATTAATAACATTGCAAAACAAAATAAAGCTATTTATCTTACATCACAGGGTTTCTGCAGACAGGATGCAGAAATGTCAATCACTGGTCACAATGACCCGTGTATAAAGAGTTTGACATCAGTATCATTATAATGACTTGTTCATACTCAGATGGTGTTATCCAGGAACGATGTGTCCGCTTAATTCCCTGCCTGACAATGATACCGAATCAGGCCACTCCACCCTTAGCTCATGTTTAGACAGAATAATAATCAAGCCCTTTATTGGTGGCGCTCTGCCATGTCAGATGTAGGTCCGCCCACACTGTTCTCACGTCAAATTCCATTGGTCTCACACTAAACCAGAGGCACCTCCCCTTCCCTTGATGACCAGCAAACGGGAACCTGAAGGCTGAAGACGAGGCTGACGAGTATGATCATCTCCGGTCACCACGGGAACCTGGATGAGTACCAATAATGCAGGCGAGCAAAGAGGTCCAGCGCACCGACCTGCCTGCTGCAGTCATCCCTGTGCAGGCTGTACTGCACCGTATACAGCACTTCCGTGAAGGTTCCATCAATAACACACACCTAGCAGACCAGCCAATGGAAGGTTCATATTACACGCTCTTTAGCAGGGTAGCAGTGAAGGCTCCCCATGTACTCCCACGCATCAAGTCAAGAACCGATTACACTTTGCACAGACGCTGCTTTTGTGTTTGACAGCTTCTCCATTCAAATAAGATTTGATTTCCCATTATTAATCCTAATCAGTTCATATGGTTTTCCAGAGACTGGGATCACACCATTGCCAAGGAAATCAATCCGCCAGCCTAAAAGCTGTATGGAGTGGTTCATGACAGGGTTACACTTTAAGCACAGCACTACAGTCTACAGTATGGGTGGACAATCTTATCAAGAAAGGTCCATTGTGTGGGCGGGTTTTCGCTGCAACTCCCTAATGAGATTATTAATTAGAGGACTGATCGGCTGAAGGGTCCTCACATCTGGGTTTGAACAGCTGGCCTAAAGGTTACCCCAAAAACCTGCATAGACACTGGCCCTTTGTGGATAAGTTTTGCCCCAGATCAGGATCAACAGCACTTCGGTGAGTGGACAGCTTCAAGTACATCATCCACATACCCGAGGACCTGACCTGAGACCTGCACACAGACTACTTAGCGAGGAAGGGATACCAGCACCTCTGTCATGTCAGGCACTTCAGGGACATCGAACTGCTTGGTCGAATGCTGAGAAACATCGAGAGCATCCTGACAGGGAGCATCAGCACCTGGTTCAGGAATAGCAGGAACAGCAGGCAGCAGGACTGCAAGTCTCTGCAAAGGGTTGTGTGGTCAGCAGAACGCACAATCAGACGGGCACTCCCACACCTCTTAGACATCTACACCAAACAGTGGCATTGCCGTAATAACAAGTCACTTGGAAGAAATGGGGCGCACGTAAAATACCGAACAATTGCAAAAAGCTGGTTGACCGAGCTTCTAATTATGAATCAACAACACCAGTCTCAGCACGTCTTCTATGTTTGAGTTCAGCGAAATAACAGCTGTTAATGATGATGTCAGTCAGAGGTGGTCACTGATGATGTAATTTGGCGCCGGTACCAGTTTTTACACCAGTGGAAAACCGACACAATAGAAGTGCCATACTTTTGGTACTTCATGGAAGTACAGAAAGTACGGTACCTGGTGCGGTGGAAACGTGCCCAAATAGGCATTTAAGTACAATATTAGGCCAGCCCCTAAACATTCCTGATAACCAACAGATCGCAAACTATTTCTATTCATGTATCTGACCTTACTAACCCTCAGCAAGACACCTTGACCCTTTCATGCACTCATACTAAAGTCTCCCAAGGACTTCAATGGTTCTGTGCAGATGCCTCAGCAATAGACATTTTCTTAACCTTCACGCTGCAGAAGCGAAACTCAAAGTTAAAGGAACTGTTAAGGTTTCATTCTCCTTTGAACAGTATATCACTCACTCTGAAAGCACAGAAAACATTTGAGGAGAAGAATGCAAGACACTAGGGTCAAGACCCTAAATTCTGAAAAAGAAAGAGAAAAAAAAACCTCACATCTTCCCCCTTTTTAAAAGGTCCTTCACCGAGAACAGAATATAAATTCCTCTACAGGACTAACTTACCAAGCCCTGAGCATCTGTTCAACTCACCTGAATCCACACCCACCTTCCAGGAAGAAGAGGCCCTCAGAACTCCAAATCCATGCCTCCCCACCACATAATCCGCCTTAGAATTGGCCTCAAGTCCACAACTTCCAATTCACAAACGTATTAATTTAGAAACTTTACTCAGGAAGTGGCTAAAGAATAAAATACCTGTGTAAGTTCGGCCGTGGGTAGGACTTTGCCCATAAGACCTTCCCTCTACTGCACCTACCCATCACAATGTCCCCGGTGTGTGCAGCTTGTGGAGAGACTCAAAGAGCATCGCTGAGTTTTGGGTAAAGCATTGATTATCGGATGGAAAAGCACAAATGCATGGAGGGGCACCTCGAGACACAGCCTCCAGATTAATCAGTAACGTAACTGCTGGCTGAAATACTTCAGATCTTTTGCTCCCCCCCCCCCCCCCCCCCCTCCCACCCAAACTACTTCTCTATGGAAATACAGGAAAAATCTATCATCAGCACCTATATTCTGAACTGTGGATTTGGTGACCTGCCCATGTATGCATTAGTTATTAAAATGAGGTATTTATAATGACGCACACGCGCACGCGCACGCGCACGCGCACCAGACTTCAGGGATGACGCCTCCCAATAACTCACCCGAGCAAAAAGTCTTACCCTAGGATGACTTGTTCAAACAATAGCTTTGTCAAGTCATACTTAGACTTCACTTGCAAATTAATTACTAATTAAGGTTAGTGTCATTAATTAATGAGCTCAGCTGAACTGGAAACAAACACATGCTGTGTGGGTCGTCTGAGAAAAGGGAATAATTACTGTTGCAGACGGCGGAGATGAGCCATTAAGAAAAGAAAAGAAAAAAACAAAAACCACAAGCTATCAGACTTAAAACCAACATCTAAACCAGGGGGTGGGGAACCTGATCCAGGAACAGCTGGTGTGGCTGCGGGTTTTTGGGATGGCCTCTCAATCAGCCAATAATAAAGCAGTGGTTCTCAACTCCAGTGCTGGGAACCCACTGTCATTGGCTGATTGAGAGGTCATCCCAAAAACCCGCACCGGCCCTCCATGGAACAGGATCCCCACCCCTGATTTAAACTGTCAGTCTGCACCAATTCAATCCAGAGTCATTTGATAAACACTTCGGGGTGACGATGCTGTGAAGGACATTCAATGAAACACCTAAACAAACAAAAATGGTAAACAGCACAGCACCAGCTTGCCTGGTTTGGGTACAAGTGATGCACAACATGACGCATGACTCCTTTCAGTGAGCTACCTGAACAAATTATTTCACTTCAGGGCAATTTACTTGATAGGGAAAAAGTATGAACCTGTGTGCACTAAAAAATTATAATATATTTGCATGCAGCACCAAGGCACAGCCACTGATCAAATTAAAATGAAATCACTGACATGAGGGCGGAAAATTTATGTTGACCGGAGTCATTTCGCATCAGAGGTTCGGCTTGTCGGCGGAGCTGTCCATGCCTGGAAAAAGACCTCCGCCTTTTTACTGAAAGCAGTACAGTCGGATGACAGGCACCCCAAGGTGCTCAGAGACAGGGCACTTTGGTGAGATGGCAATTGGGGGGGGGGGGTATTAAAGGGACCCACCCAGTTTAACACGTACCCAACATCTCTGCAGCTGCTGAGCTCAGAGCAAACGAGGCGCGGCTACACCCAGTAGCAAGCGGAGGCCCAGAAGTCACAGATTATTGTGAGTATGGGTCAGGAGGGGCCTGAGGTCCTAAATCGGGAGGCGTCTCTGAAGATGCCTGTGTGAACCAGCAGAGAATCAACAGGGAACAATAAAGACGGGAAAACGCTTCACTCCCTCAGACGTTTGCCTTACCGGTGAGGACAAAACAAAAGGCAGCGAAGTAGATTTTGGAAAGCCAGTCCCCACACCAGCTTTCAAAAAGACAAACAGCATAAATAAGACAGAAACAGGAGTCAGGCCCTTCACTCTAGAGCTCCTCCTACTATTGTGGCTAAATATTCTCCTGCTGAAGAAGGGGGCGACGCCTCCCATGCTCTCCAGTGATGTGGAGGTCAATTCCAAAGGCAAAGAACAGGAGAATACACCTTAACATTCCCCAAATGTCCCTTAGCTATCTGCCAATGTTGCTGAGATATCCTTTTTTTTTGTTTTTTTTTTTCGTCCCATCTCTCCACAGACCTTTCCCCCGGATCACCAGACAGACATCAGCTCACTGGCCCTGTTCTGAGACCTCTGCCATCCGGCACCCAATAAAATTCCTCATTCTTGCTAATCGCCTATAAATAACCTTATTTCTCACCAGCAAAGTGATCTATATGATTCAGTTACAGGCATCAGCAACAGATGACAGTAATCTCTCTTTTTCACATTATCTCTCATATCTTGGAC